CTCATGTCGGACGGCAAAGATGTCTCATTTGATTGCGAGCAACATTCATGTACTCTTGCTTAAGTAACCCGTTGGCCACGTCTGAAGACGAGGAAGACACAGGAACAAGGAAATGCAAGAACAAACATGGGGTAGGTCGGTGTGGCGATCGTCCTATCACTTGCGCCACTTGCTTGGGAACCAGTCAATGGCCGGATGGCCTACGTGCGACTGAGGGGTCACTTCACGAACATCTCCATCGTCTCTGTGTACGCACCAACTTCGGCTGCCGAACAGCGCGATAAAGAGGCGCTTTACTCTCAGTTGCAAGCGCTAGTTGAAAGACTGCCTCACCACGATCTGCTGATTGTTGCTGGCGATTGGAATGGTCGAACTGGGCCTGGCGACCCCACAACCAGCCATCTTCTTGGCCGCTTTGGGCTTGGTTCCCGATATGAAAATGGTGAAAGATTGCTGAACTTCGCTGATCGAAACCGACTGCTTGTCACCAACACATGTTTCCGGCATCGCAAAAAACGTCTGCTGACCTGGTATTCAAACGACGGTCATACCGCCAGTCAGATTGACTACATACTAGTCAGCTCAAGATTCCGCAACTGGGTTCACGATAACAGATCGATGTGAGGTGCCGAGACTGGTAACGCCCATGGGTCGTCCATACTCGCTTGAAAGTTCATCTCTCATCCACGCCAAAAACGCCACGTCCTAGACGCCTCGATGTCGCAAAAATCCGGAAAGCCAGCACCGCCGAGGCCCTAAGCAGAGAAATCCGGACCTGTTTTACGACTCGAGCCGACGGAGAAGTCAGTAACCAGTGGTCGTCACTGAAGACTTCAGTCTATGTGGCAGCTGAGAAAACCCTTGGATACACCCAGCGACGCCGCAGTGACTGGATCAGCGGAAGAACCCTGCAGTTGTCTGCTCAGACGGCTAGAGCCAGGTCCCGCAACGATGACTACTTCCGCCAACTTCGGAAGATGACGGCAAAATCGGCCAGGGATGACCGAAAGCAATAGTGGGCTGAAATAGCGACATCCATGGAATAGGCCTCGAACGTTGGTGACACTCGAAAGCTCTACCGTCTGATCCGCCAAGTTAGCGGTAAGCCCTCTACACTGAGTGACTCTGTTCGCGATGTGAACGGCGGCTTTATTGCTGACAACTCGGCCAAAGTCGAGCGCTGGCGTGAGCACTTTGAGCACCATCTCAACTTCGATGCCCAACCTACATCGCCCTTGTTCTCCTCCTCAGCGGAGTTTCTTCCCTCTCCTATCTATGCAGTGCCATGCGATCCCCCCTCCGAGGAAGAAGTCCCCGATGCCATACGAAAGTTGCGCAACAATAAGGGACCCGGAGAGGACGGCATACCCGCTGACATCTTCAAGTCTTGTGTCGACACTCTGGCGCCCTGGCCCCATGGGGTGATTGAACGAGTGTGGAGAGACGAGGTTGTTCTTGATGACTGGGGCTTAGGCATCCTTGTGCCTATCCTCAAGAAGGGAGATAAGACGAGATGCGAGAACTACCGCGGCATAAGTCTCATCGACGATGCTGCGAAGATCTTCGCTGTTGTCCTACTCAGGCGATTCCAAGCTATGCGTGACTCAAGGACGAGGCCCAACCAAGCCGGATTTCGTGCTGGACGTGGATGCGCAGACCAGATATTCACACTGAGGCGCATTCTCGAATTTCGCCATAGCTACCAACAACCGACGGCCGTCTGTTTCATTGACTTTGCCGCCGCATTCGATTCCGTTCACCGTGAGTCCCTGTGGCGGATAATGGCGCTAGATGGTGTATCGGCAAAAATCATCGCCATGATCAAGGCCTACTATCGCTCCACTAATGCAAGAATCCTGGTCCGCAACAATCTTCCCCAACCGTTTGGTAGTAGGTCTGGTGTCCGGCAGGGTTGTATCCTGTCACCCATACTGTTCAACTACGCTGTTGACTGGATCTTCGGGAGGGCCCTACAGGAGGGTGACGGCGTTGAGTTTGCAACCGGACACCGACTGACTGATCTCGACTATGCCGATGATATCGCCTTACTTGCTTCAAGTTTTGCTGATCTGCAGTCTGTCGTGTCACGGGTGAAAAAGGTCGCTGAATCGGCCGGTTTATCCATAAACGTTGCGAAGATCAAAGTGTCTTCAAGCTGCATCCCTGACCAGGAGTAGGCACCCCTGGGGATTGATGGCTGTCAACTTGAAGAAGTAGACAGTTTTAAATACTTTGGGGACGAGGCTGCTGCCTAATGGACAGAGTAAGGACCACATTGTCTCCCGAATCGATGCTGCCCGCTGGGTTTTTTCAAGCCTTCGGAAACGCCTGTGGATCCGACGTGACCTTTCCATCGCCACTAAGATTCGCGTGTACCGTGCATCTGTCCGGTCTGTCCCTCTCTACGGTTGTGAATGCTGGCCTTTGCGTGTAGAGGACGAGCGAAAACTGGAGGGATTTGACCACGACTGCTTGAGGACCATCCTTCGAGTGAAGTTCACCGACATCGTCTCAAATGAGACAGTCCGCGCTCGCTGCGATAACATCTCAAGGATAACTCAGGCCATCCAAGAAAGACGACTGAGGTGGTTCGGGCATGTTCTTCGTCGTCCACCTCAGGAACTCAGTGTTACTGCCCCCGATCCGGCACTGCTGCCCCATTGGAGGCGTCGAAGAGGGGGTCAGTTCAAAACCTGGCTCGACACAGTTCGCCAAGATATGGAGATGGTTCTTGGACCTTCGGTATTAGGTCTCCGTCGTTGGCGAAGGGAATGGGTTGAGTTGTCCAGATTTACTGCCGCGGGTCGTCACGCGTGGTGAGGTACAGTTTGAGATATCATCAAGGCCGGCTAGATCAGACAGGATCGCAGTCGTTTCAAGTACAAGTAAGTAGGTCAGCGGTTCAGAGTAATTCTGATGCAAATTTGATCTGATGGTAGGAGTTTGTCTGGTTTTTCGAAAAACCTATTTCGGCGCGGTAACGGTCACGAGGCAAAGTTTGAACAAAAACGGAAAAATGGGTCGTCCTTAAGAACATAACTTCTGCTGAAGCTGAAAATTTGACCCTGGAATAAAAACAGCGATAGGTCGGTCTGGCAGAGTTTGTGACAATAAAGATTAGAAGAAACATATGCCAGAACGCAAAAAAGTACAATAACGGAGATAGTTGGTATCATAAAGAAAGTGGTAAGACTATTATTTATTTAAAAGCGACACATGTTAGCTCTGACATCCGTTTTAACGAGTTCAAAATAACATTTGCGGAACTCTATTTGCCCAGTTGTGTGGTAGAAGAGCAGCTTGTGTGGCAAAAGGAGGAACCAACATACCAGTTCCTATTGCGAGAACTCAATACCAGAACAACATTTACCTTGACTCGCTGACTCTGAAGGAACAGAACAACTAGATTTATCAGTAATTCGCATTTTAAATAATCCCAAACACAGCAAAGAACTGTAAATCCTGAGCTCCAAAATGGTCGATCCCTAATTTCCGAGGATAGGATGGGTTTCTTCTCGACAAAGATGCCATATTCTCGCTATTGGTCCACTGTAGAACCTTGCTTTCCAGGTGGGCCGTTTCAAACCGAGCCTTACATAAAAAACCTGTGCAAAAACTCGAGAAATATGAGCTCGACTTTTAAAATAAGCGTTGAAACAGAAAGTATTACCTATTGTTGTCGTTAAACTGGAAAACCGGTCTCCCAGACGTGTTCAATATCTACATTCAAAAACGGCAAAATTGGAGATCTTTGAGTGGATTATTACTACGCTTTTTCCACATTGACCATATGACCAGATGTTAGTTCGAGCTCACTACTCCTTTCCGAAAAGCAGAGAAATCCCTATTAACGTAAAAGTTGGCCAAATTATGCACGCACTGCTATATATTGCAACGACGGACTCGCGTCGGTTTAAGCAAAAGCTTAATTTATTAGCCCAATGGCTGGCTGTCGCATTATGGCGAGAAGCAGTGTCGGAGCCGACGACCACAACGAACGTACGTAGAAATCTGTTTCAAAAACAACACTACTTAAATTAAGCGAGTAACGTCTTTGTCGTGACAATACTTTTAGATTTCATTCGCAACCACACCAGTAGCGAGCGAAAAGCGGGGATTTCAAAGGCCTTTCCTAGTACCCTCATAAATAGAATAAAATATCAGTGGCCTAAATGACCTCAGTCGTTCATCCGTCTTATGAGCAAATCCGCGACCTCATTGGGCGGCAAATGCATGATGGTTCTACCTTCTAAGTAATATCAGTTGCTCTAACCTAAGCGTGGGGGTAGACAAAAACGAGCATGACGCTAACCGTCCCTTCTCGCTCCGGGAAGCAGAGGCCAATTAGGTGTGTTTGTGTGTGTTTGAGTCGCATTGGAACAAGGCAGACCTGTGCCGCATTGATATCACGCTCTTTTCTCAGTCCAGTCATGTTCCGCGAGCAAGGCTAGGTCAGGAATAATGGAGATGTGTTTGGGCACAGTGACTGGCCTGACACAAATCCTCGTCTACGAGGGTCTCGAAACTGTTGGTTCCTTTCTATTCACCGAACCCGGCCTCACACGCAAGTTAACCGAAAAGAAGCCGTCGGTGCTTACGCATGAAGTGTCCACAATGTTGTGTATACGAGTGACCAAAGGATTAAAAAATGTACTTCGTCTGATTCTCGTAACTTCAAGCGAACAATCCATTGACGAGGCAGTCATGCGAAGGTTGGAATCACAGTTTTTTTTCAAAAGCATAAGACATTATCTTTGTCGGCCTAGAGCAATTGCAGTTGATGGCTCCCAAGTTCGACAGAAAAAGACGATACACTTACGATGGAGTAAGAATGGGATAATTAGATAGCATTCATCGATTTTATTGGTTGTCGTGAAAAAATTCGGCGTTCGGAAAATCACGATACTCAGAAAAACGACGAGTATCATACAAATACCAAAGAACATCGATCAGCGCGCAGAGAAGCAATACGGTGCTTCGGGGTAACAATCGGGAGAGGGCCCCAAAAATAATACCAGCCAAAGCAATATCATCTGTGGTTCGGCCTTAATTCCATGGGACATAAAGAAGCCTGAGAACTTTCCCTGTCTCATGTTGTGGAGACCTATCCACTCTGACGTGAAATTTGCGCTTGAATAATTTGCATTAATGTACGCAGAATGTTTAAAGAAAATGTTCAACCCCATGCCTTGTGTCTCTGAAATCCTGGGGACCGCTGTCTGACAGTAATGTCGGCCAGCTGTCTGTAACCGCGGAAGTACTTTGAAAATCACGACGATGTTAGTGGAAATACGAAGCGCGAACCATGCATCAAAAGCGTGTTCCGGAGTGACTCGCGATGATAACCGAAAGTAAGTATGGATCCTCCCTCCGCCCGGTAAACCGAAGAGATGTGTTGTCAGCTTCCTCTGTGTTATCTGCCTGTGATAGAGCGGTATAGTTAAGCTAAACCCGCGATGATGTAAGGATATATTACCAAACGCCATCGTGAATGACGCTGTAAGACAACAAAAGGAAGGAATTTTTTATTGAGCCCCCGTGCGATAGACGTTTCTCAACTTTCCTAGGGTACGCTGGCGTAGAGTAAGCCGCATACCGACTACTGCGGTCGCTCCTCAGCTGTGGAAGCTGAAGTCGAGGTCGATAAAGCAAGGATCGGTCTACAGCGATCGCTTCTCAACTGTTTGAGGCTATGATAGTGTAAGTGAAGCAGCATGCCGATTGCAGGTCAGATGAAACAACAAATATGCAAGGATAATACCTACTCAAAAAGCTATAGTAGGTATTCTTTATATGTAACATGTTTGGAGGCCCTTTCCCGACTGTTACCCGTAAACGCAACAGGTTTTCCAAGTCCACACAAGGTCAAGACCTTACTTTGGAAAATGCGGAGGACAACAGGGGATAGCACTTGAGATCGAAATTGTCGTATAATCAAAAAATATCGGCAAAAGCTGGTGATGAAGACTCGAGCAGAGACAGTCTCCAGATAGTTCGGCAAACGTTTCCAATGCTAAGTATAAATATTTCCAGTGAAAGCTCCTAAGTGTTTGATTAGCAAAGTGGAAGGCGCAAATTTGAGTCCAAAACATCGTGGATATGAAACTCGTGGTTCCGAAGTCAAGTTTTCCTCTTCTTGTTATTAGGGAGGTTGTGAAAAAACTGACGAAAAATAACACCGAAAACCAAAAAGGGGCGATTTCCATAAGGGCAGCTGAAAAACATATTACTGCATTTTATATATATCGACGGATAAATTATTTTCAGTATTTCACTTACTTTGTAAGTCTCGTCATCACTTTCGAAGGAATCGGACTCATAGTAGTGGGCTTCGCCAGTACAGCTGTTGACGCCAGGTTCCAGAGAAGCAGTATCATCATATGACGCAAGAAAGTCGGTCTTCATCAATTTTAAACCTCCCAAATTTGAGTTACCTTTGATAATAAGGAAAATCCTCCTTCTTGCGTGCACTGTGACATTGTACTAAATTAGTCATTAGAAAAGAGAGTTAGCGTGGAGCAGAAGATTAATGCTAAGTTAAAATAAGAACGGAATGTAGATTATGGACTTCAAACTTGGTATTGTTTTGCAGAATAAAGCAAATCATAAGGTTGCACAAAAAGAGAATATGGTTCGGAGCTGTAATGGTTTGCAAGTCTGACCCGTACTTTACTGCCTAGCGATGTCCAGGAATCCAATCTCCAAAGTGAAGAAGCAGTCCTTAACTTGACAAATATAACGCAATTGAGGAAAATGCGGTCACACTGAAGAAGTCTTGGAATAGGATGTCGAAACGTGAACTAGCTGTCGAAGGTCGGACCTTAATTCATAAGTAGTGATACATGTGATCCTGGCTGGCCACGAGTTTGACTCATTTCTGATCCAGATCGCGGGCGGGAATGGTAACCGTAAGGCAAGGCAGTCCCATGAGACGTGATTGTTAGGCGCCTGTCGAGTTATCCGTGATGTATGCGAAATCGCTCCGTCATCTACCGGAGGACTAACGTCACCAGAAGATAGGGCGTAATGTCCCTTTCTTCGACTTCCAAGCCTCACAACAGAGAACGAAGGCGTGAACTCAGAGACCATATCAGATCTGGAGGGGCCAACTCTCAGAGGGGGTTGGCAGCAAATACAGTCCACCTAGGATGACGTCATGGGCTTGGGTGTTGATGTC